TCATGTTTTGTCCATGTTCATCTTAAGACCTATCCTGGTAACATTTAACGCACGCATTTTTTTACGTGGTAGAGCCACGTTGCAGCTATAATAGTCGTAGTACGAATGATTTGGCTCGACCGGGATAGGACCATGCCATACTCGCACAGAATACCAGCGTAAAATAGCAGCTTAAGGCTGTTGTGTTTCGTATGGTGAGTGTAGAGAACCGGTTATTCTTTTTACTGGAAACGAGACATTCCATCTTAGTCTTCAGACTAAGATGGAATGTCTCTGCCTCTGACAACGCATACATTATGCCTATGGGCCACAGCATCCACTTACCATCCGGTGGAATGTGTGCTCGTTTGGCACCTTTATTCTATATATATAAAGAACGCACCCTGAGGTCTGAAGAAAAGATCCAGAAGCTGGAAGAAGAGATAAACAAGTTGCGTTGGGATATTATAGACTGTGAACTGATTTTAATGATTCTTTTTTTATTAAATAGACTTCAACTCAAGGGTACTCCCACTAAATTTTGAGGAAAAAATTCCGCCCTAAGGGCGGTAAATTGGGGAAAAAGTTTCATTATTTATTTGGCTTTATTTACCCTTACATGAATATTATTAAGTGGATAATATTAGTATAAAAGTATCTATTCCTCTTACTTTATTTGTTAGTAAGTGTTAATATTAAGTTAGTATTGTGTTAGTTGTAAGGGCCGCCTTTTGCGGTGAAAGCCTCCTCCAAATTAGTCCAAGTGATTCTGTCTTGCGCTAATCTTGGCCAAAGTGTACCACCTACTTCGACGATGTCATCACTCCACCTTTTTGATGGCCTACCTCGTCTTCTTTTCTTATATAATGGGTACCAGTTCAATATTGTTTGTGACCACCTACTTTCTGTTACTCTTAGTATTTAGCCTGCCCGTATCCATTTTAGCGTCAGGATTATTTCGACTACATCTCTTGCCTTTGTTCTTTTCCTGATCAAAGCGATCGATTCGATCTCGTAATCTTACATTCATATACCTTCTTTCTATCCCTCTTTGGCATGTTCTTATTTTACTAAGAAATGATTTTTTTAGTGGCCATGTCTGACATGCATATGTTAAGCAGGGAGTCAGACAAATGTTTGCCTTTGTTTTTAGTTTTATTGATAGAGATCCTTTAAATATTTCCTTCCTAGACCAGTATTTGTTCCACGTACTCTTTATTCTTCGGTCTATTTCCCTTTCCCTATTTGAATGCTATAAGATGCCCGAGATAAATATATTCTTCGACATAGTCATTGAGTACTGCCTGTATTGATATAGGTTCTTTGTCTCTGTTCGTCATAATCCTCGTTTTGTCCCTTTTTATTAGTAGTCCTTTTTAGTAGTTTCTGCTGAGTGAGCCGAGTGTCTCTAGCAAGTATTCTAGTTGTTTTGGGTTTTCGGAGAGTAGAACGATGTTGTCTGCAAATCGGAGGTGTGAAATGTACACACCGTTTATATTGATGCCCATATCTTTACAATTGAGGTTTCTGAAGATAGATTCTAGTACAGCGATGAATAATTTTGGTGAACTTTTTTCTGTTTTACCCCTCATTCTTACTACGTAACTACTCCTTTGTTATCCAAACGTACTCTAGTCATACTTTTAGCATAGATGGTTCTAATCAGCTCAACATAATCTTTTTCGATTCCTGGCTCGTTTAATACGTGCCAAATAGAGTTATGTGTTATAGAATCAAAAGCTTTTGAATAATCTATTAAGGCTATATATAGAGGTAAATCATGCTGTGTATATTTTCTATAAAAAGTTTGAGTGTATGTATGTGATCAGTCGTGTAATACTTTTTCATAAAGCCTGCCTGCTCGATTGGATGGTTTTCATCGATTGTTTTTGTTATGCGTCGTAATAGAGTTAATGCGAATACTTTGTATAGACAGGATATCAGGCTAATGGGTATATAATTTGTTATTTGCTTTGAGTCCCCTTTTTGTAAAGTAGAGCTATTTCTGAGCAAGTCCAACGTACTGGTAATTCATTTTTGTGAATTATGATTTTAAAGAGCTTGGTTAGTGGTTTTATAATTTTTTTCCAGCTATAATCATCTCGTTTGTCACATCATCCGGTCCTGGGCTCTTTCCTGTTTTTACTTTTTTTTATAGAAGAGGGGGCAAACGAGCATGCGGCTCACCTGATGGTAAGTGACTACCGCCGCCCATGATCAACCGCAACACCAGGGGAATTGCAGATGCGTTGCCGGCCTTTTAGAAAGGAATAAGCTCTTTTCTTGAAGGTCCCTAAGTCGTATCGGTCCGGAAAAGTTGCCGGTGGTAAACTATTCCACAGAGAAGTTGTACGAGGAGGAAAACTAGTAAAACGTACAGTAGTGGACCGCCAAGCATCCAGATGGTGAGAATGAAAATACTATATATAAATACCCCATAAAATAAAATTTTTATACTTCCTTGGAAACGATTTGTTTGGATGAGATTATGGTAAAATTTTGCAGTTTGTAAATTGCGTACATGGAAAATCTGCAAATATATATTAATAGTCCTTTTATAATCATTTTTTTCTATATACGCCCCCGCAATTGCAACTCGCTTGCCGCATAGTATTTAATCAAATAAATCTTAGTTGCGTTTGATAAGCTCTCGTGTATGAAGCGAAGTCAGTGAGAACGTTTTTCTCCAGTTTCGTTTGATAAACGCGCTTAGAAGGCCCATCCCCATATTAACTATACCACTTAAACAAGTCCTTAAGACTAAGCTTAACACTAAAAATTTAAAAATAAAGTAACTTTTTCAAAACAAATAAAACATGACTTCAAAACTTTGCGCACACTACTAAAAAGTTAAAAATAATATTTTTTGATTGCTAAGAAATGAAGAAATGTACAAGAAAAATATACACAATTATTGATATTGAAATATTTATATGACTTAACCAGTAATTTTTGGAGTCAGTGTCAGCAAAGCCACGAAAAACAAATAATAAACTTACAAGATACCTATATAGAGGGACATGAATACAAGTAAAAGAAACTGAAAAAAATAACGAAACTTACGAAATCGTTTTAAACAAAAATGATAAGAAATAATCGCACAAGATTACCTATTTAAATCTCTTGAGATATTAATATATATGTAAGAGAATTTAAATAAAAACTTATGAAAGCAAATAATTATCGTGGCTTGGCGGCACCGACTCCAAAAATTAAAGGTCAAGTGGTATAAATATTCCAATAACAATAATTTCGTATGTTTTCTTGTACAATTCCTCATTTCATAGCAATCAATAAAATAGTATTTGTAACTTTTTAGTAGAGTGCGCAAAGTTTTTAAGTCGGTTTTATTTTTTTGATTACTCTATTACTCAGAATCACCAAACGGTATTCGTTAAAGGTCATATGGGTATACGCACCAGCCATGGCCTGTTCCAATGAGGAGCTGGAGGAAATGTATGAGAATATCTCCCATATAGCCATGCATTCCTCCAAAACCCACTATACGGTGTTAATGGGAGACTTCAACGCAAAACAAGAGAAAACGATGAGCTGAAGGTAAGGAAAGTCGGAATAGGGCAACGGAACTCAAGACTCCAGCAGCTCACCCACTTCATGAAGAAAGAGGGACTCTTTATGATGATCTCTTATTTCCAGAAGTGGCCCCACAGGAAGTGGATTTATACGAGCCGCGACGGCTCTACAAAAAATGAGATTGACTTCATTATGACTACTAGACGGCAACTGTTTAGTGATGTCTCAGTGATCACAAGGGTGAAAACGGGCAGCGATCACCGAATGGTTAGAGTTTCACACACGTCACACAGTCTCACGAACCTAAACGTTAATTTGGAGAGGTCAACGCTCCAACCCCCTCGTGCTCTTGTCTAAAGTTCCGAAAACTTTCAGCTCGAGTTACAAAAACGTTTTCAGTGCCTAGAAGACTGCAATGCAGTGGATTATATGTATGATAGGCTCGTGAAAACTTTCCATGCGGTCGGAGCTAAGTCCTGCAAATAAAAAACTCTCTGATCACACTCTTAACCGCATGGTTGTTAAACGGGAAATGAAGCTGCAGGCTTTAGCAGATTTGATAACATACAGGTAACAAAACAGACAGATCTCCAAATGCATACGGCAGGACTTACGCAACTTCAATACAGCTCGTACTGAAGAAGCGATCGAGCGGAACCAGGGCTCAAAAGCCAGAGATCTGTCTGCCAGAAAGAGCAAACTGTTGAAGCTCTCGACGACGACGACGACGACGACGACGACAACAACGACGACGACGACGATGATGATGATAATGGTGATGATGAGAAGATTAGCATTTGCACATTGCACAAAATACCAATAAACTAGGGTTGCCAGATGGTCGGGTTTTGTCTGGATTCTCCGGACATTTAAAGCGATCTCCATACTCCCGACAAAACTCAAAATCTCCAGACAAACAGCTTCTTGGAAAGTTAACGTATAGCCTTTGCTTTAATAAAAGCTGAGATGGAAATTAGACTGAACTTTGAAGTAAATAGTTAGAATTTAAAAAAATCTGAATACCACTAGAGGACCCAAATTGGTGAACTCTAGTAAAGTATAAAACATGCCAACCATGCCAAATACATGTGGCAACCTAAAAATTAAGTGTACCTAAATTAGTTTTGTTTAAAGTACTTTTGTAGCCTCTAAATTAAAAAAAAAATTATTTTTAATATTTATTGCTTCCGACAACAACCCCAAAATCCAGACTTTTACAAAATTTGTCCAGATATATTGGACTTCCTGGACCGATCTGACAAACCTAAATACGACGGTGAGCAGTGGTGACACTAGTGAAGGCTAAGCCCCAGCGAGTCTAGTCCAGCGCATGTCGACGCTTCCTGTAATAACTAACCTGTTTAAATATCGCTTCGTGAACTCCTAGCCTAAATATTATAAAATTAAAACATATTTCAAAGTTCCGCCGAGATATTTTGCACAAAGATTATAATTAATACATGTATCTATATGAAATGATGTCGCACCTTTATACTGCTCCTGTTCTTGCATGGTCTGAACACTACACCGCAGTCGGTTGATAGTGAGTTGCACCGTGTCATTGAGCCCATCCTCGCTCGCCGTGTACAGTAGGGTCACCTCCAATTGACCCTTCTTATTTTCTCTCTGTAAACAATGCCTTAGTTATGTAGTTAAAAGTCCATACTCCTATTTACGAATTTATGAGACATTTATTATAGTTTGCTTTTAAGAAAAAAGCAATACATGTTATGTGCTGATGTATTATTTTTTACTATGTCATTTTATTTTCTATATCTCTCTTTTCTTTATATATCTCTAAGCTTAATTCTCAAAAGGTCCTCCAGACCGAATTTCGGCCACGGCGGCCTGCCTCAACGGAGGCTAGCCATCGGCGCAGGGCAGGATTATAGTGCCCAAGTGTATGTGCAGGCACAGGTGCACTCTCTATTACCTCACTCTCATAATCCGATGGGACGGTAAACCGACACGACCGGAGAGAGATCAGGCGCAGGACCAACGGCTTTACGTGCTTTCCGAGGCACGGGGGTGAGACAACGCCAACTTCCTGACTCCAGGCAGCTACTGAGAATTTCCTGACAGAAAAACTCAATAATACATTCTTTGGCCCGACCCGGGATTCGAATCCAGGAACTCATGATCAGCAGTCGCACTACTACAACCACTAGACCAACGAGGCAGTCATTGATGACTTTAGCAGTTAGGTAAGTAATTAGAGATTACAGTGCCTATAGTAACGCTTTATTTAAAAATTGTAGATACCAAGTCACAAGTCATTCCTGCCCTTGCACAAGCTTCGATTTTATGAGAATTTTATAAGGATTTTATATAATAAAGAGCGAATTATCGAATTCTTTTAAAGTCTATACTATTGAGGGTATTTAAGATACTCTAGCACGTTTAACCAGTGAAAGCAATGTTTTAATTTTATTTGTGTTTACCGTATTTGAGTGAAACCGGTACGTTGCACTTCGTCGTTGCTCAAGACGGTAGGTTGCACTTACATAGAATGTCTCACCTCACACGACACGACAAACTAAGTAAATTGCTTAACGTATGATGCGGAATTAAAAGCCAGGTATTCTAAATTTATTGTAAAAGTAATTTATCAATGACATACAAATGCAAAATATAAATTTAGTACATTAAAACGGTTCCAACATTTCGTCAAAAATATTCAATGACATCCTAAGAACTTCATCGTGAAATTAAAATTAAAATTATAAAAGATTTTGGAGCGTAAACCGAATGTAAATAATGTATTATTAACAAACGTACATCATATATAATAAAAATCTCAACATTTATATAACACTTGTAATAATGGCGTTTTTTTTTTTTAAATTACATAACACGGTCAGTAACGAACGCAGAAATTAGATTTCTGTGGTAACGAAAATCTCCACCAAGACGTCGAATCAAGGTTAACTTGCGTCATTGCAATTATAGGTTACGTACTAACACTAACAGGGATTGGTCGAGGTCAGATTCTATTCTACTTCTATTATCGGCGCTTCCCATCATTAACTGATTACACTTAATAAAAGAAACTCGTTATGACGATGATTCGTAAATTATAATGTGTATTTATCCAAAAAAAAATTATTGCTGAGAGATCAAGTCAGGGTCACGTGGCCGTATTCATTTAATCATCGACTAAATTTTATTACATGAAGAAGACAGACAACTTATTCAATAAATTCCTTGTAAATGCCTTCTTACCTAGCGAGTTTAGTTGGATTATAATATATAAAGACTATAATAGCTTAATTACGTCTGGCCGTGCGGCTTTGTAAATACAAGAAATTTCTGTTAGCCTCCGTTAAATGGCAGTGTAGCCATCTAAAAACATGTAAAATATCCAAACCGGAAACAAAAAGGAACGTTAACAACGCAAAGCGTCTGGTATTGTGACTCTGTGACCTCGAACCTGCCCAGTGTGGTGCTAATCGAGGTAGTTATGGCCTATAATTGATAGAATCAGGCGTTACTTTGCGGAAATCCATTATAATAAAGATATTAATTAATTTGCAACCATTTGATAACTAAATACAATGATGTACCTTACCTGGATTGAAGAGCACCTCCCCCCCTCAATTGCGTGCACCAATCCCTTCACCACTAATCCCAGCACCACTACTCCCAACACCACTACTCCCAACACCTATTCTAGGAAAGACACACCATCGACGATAATACGACACGTGTTTCGCCTCTACACGAGGCATCCTCCCTCAGGTTATATAGACTCTACGGCGGCTGACCGCTAAGCTTAGCGGTCACGTCTTGTATTATCGTCGATAGTGTGTCTTTCCTGGAATAGTGGTGTTAGGAGTAGTGGTGCTGGGATTAGTGGTGACGGGATTGGTACACGCAATTGAGGGAAGGCGGGAGGTGCTCTTCAATCCAGGTAAGACACATCGTTGTATTTAGATAGCGGATGGTTGCAAATTAATTAATATCTTTATTAGTAATGGGCTATCTTTCATACTCTAGGAGACGAGAGGCCAAGTCTATCTACTTTAAATCCTATAAAAATAGTATTTTTTTTAAATAGGCATTTTCATTTTCTTAACACAAATTCGAACAATCAAATTTTCGGAGAAGCTACTTATCTTTCTAGAGATACAAAAACGTGAATACCATGAAATTCACTCAACGAAGTTATCGATAAACGTTGATAAAATTGAAAAGGTTATATGTAAAAAGATTTTGTTCTGGCCAATGCAATGAAATATTTTTTCGAATAAACCAGGCTCTTTGCCATACATCATCACTTATGGTCTATGTATTTGAGATACATAGACCATAAGTGATGTCACAAAAACACTGTGCAACAGTAATGAAGACGAGCTATTAAAAGTTATTTAACGATCGAATAAAATTAAATTCTCAAGGTTTAAGCGATTTTTAGTTCGTGAAGTCATGTTTTACAATGTTATTAGACTGAGCAACAAAGATTTTAGTAACTTCAGTATAAACTGACTGAACGGACTGACATCAAGAGAAGCCATAATTTAAAAGAAAAAGAAGAAGACTTCAATATCATATTTTTTCTAAACGTTACAAGTTCTTCACGCTTAATTTTTTATTGTATTCTCCTAGTTAATGTCAAACACGCTGAATGTCACGCGAAACGGGGACCCTATTTGCTGATACAGATGCTTTTTAATGTAAGACCTCATGGGGTGACAGCGCATTTTCATTTTGATTCTTAATCGATGATAGTAATTACCATCAGAAGCACTGTGCACACGTTTATCACCCTCGCTTGTGCTAGTACCTACTTGCAGAGTTGCGCACGACGTCTCATATCCATACGTCGTCACGCAACACGCATTGGCGGTACACAATTGATTTCAACTTTGGAGGAAGAGATAAATGACTAGAAGACGTGTCGAAATCTTCCGTACGCTATAAAACGCTACCCTGCCGAGTTGCAACCACCGATTGACCTAGAGGTCAATCGACTGTTACGTCAAAATTTGACCTAGAAGTCAAACTTTGACGTAACCCATTCGGACGGATTGTTCTATACGTGATTGAGCCACGCTGCAGCTATATTATGGTTGTAGCACGAATGGGTCGTCTCGACCGGAGTGGGGCAACGCTCTCACAGAATAACAGCGTAATATAGCAGTTTAATGCTGCTGTGTTTCGTATAATGAGTTTAGAGAACCGAAAACTCTTTTTACTGGAAACGAGGCATCCATCTTAGTCCTCAGGTGTGACAACGCATCTGCCTTTTTATTGTATGTCTACTGGCCACAGCATCCACTTACCATCAGGTGGACTGTCTGCCCGTTTGTCACCCTTATTCTATATTTAAGAAAAACTACCAACGTTGTGCGTATGGACGTTAGACACAAGCTTTATCTGGTCCATGTTCATCTTAAACCTATCTGTAGGGATGGGGAGAGACTTTGAGTAGACTTGACCTTGATTTATTTAAAATTTATACTCTTTTTACTGGAAACAAGGCATTCCATCTCAGTCCTCACGGGTGACAACGCATCTGCATTTTGATTTTTAATGGAGGATAGAAGTAGATGTCTATGGGCCGCAGCAACCACTTACCATCAGGTGGACTGTGTGCTCGTTTATCACCCTATTCAATAAAAAAATGCCTATAATTTTCAAATGTCATGTAATGAAATTTGAATACTATCTACAAAGTGGGTGGGACTATTAATTCTTTTCCTGTCTGAGAATTCGTCTGGATGCCACATTGTTAGCTATTTTTGCACCAAACAGCAGTGTAATAACGAGTACATATTCAATAAGTACTATCTTGAAGTTTTACTTTGAGATTACCTTTTCGTTAACTTATCATCTCAAAGTATTAAATTAACTGAAGCACTGAATGCTTAATTCGGCAATCAACTTAGGAGGTCGTAGTCGTAACATTTTTTAATATAATATAGGTGTTCCGTGTGTGTGTTTTAAACCTATTATTATAATAGATTATTATTTAAGAAAAAACTTTACCCGTGATTCAGCTGCCGATAAACCGCTTGCGATGGCGTTTATAGGCCTCCATATATCGGGGGTACCGATCAAACCATTTTTTAGGTCGTTCTGAAACAGTTTAGAATCGAAGTTCCATGTTGCGGCGCCTACCGTCCGCCGTTTCTCCAAAATCATTTTTTGTGCTGCGGCTTCTGCCTTTGTCGACTTAAAACTACTGAAGGTTTTTTCAAGGAACCCCGGTTTTGGTTTCATTGCGTCCTCATCACCTATTTTACTTGTTTTTTTCGTGTCTAAGGTTTTTGCACTTCGTCGTCGCTCGGAGTCTTGTTTTGGTGCTTCTAACAAAGCGTATATCGTTAGTGACAAAAAATGGCCGGCGAGCTGGTTTTGAAGGTCGATTTTTTCGGATGGCTTCTTCGCTGGCGTCTGTTTTAACTGAAATTTAAAATCTTCGTTCCAGACGGGCCAAGAACTTTCTTGCAAGGTGGTTTCATATTTGCTCTCACCTGGAAAAATTTTGACCTGCAAGGATAAAAATAATAATTAAATTATGTAATAATGTTACGTGAATAACAATCATATTATAACGGGAATGGTTAAATAAGTAGTAGACAGTAGACAAAACATTCTTCGCTTTGAAATAAAACTGAATAATCATTCATCCTAAGGAATTCTTACCGAATCAATTTCCACAAGATCTTTCTACACAATATAAATAAAAATGTATATTAAGTCTCCTACGACTGCTTTCGAATACGCGTTTTTGACACAACATTGCTTTAGAATACGCGTTTTAAAACTGAGACCTATAAGATATCGAAACCGAATACCGATAAGTAGTACCAGGCCTCTGTCACTCTTGCTACCTGCGTGAATAATTTACCTAAAATCGTGACGCACCTAGGGTGAAATATGCAGTCGGGGCTAGCGCGCGTAAGCGATTAAATGCTATACCAACTATTATTATTATACACAAAGCATAGTAAAAACAGAATAGTAAGATAACTCCCGCGCCACGCGAGACTCAAATGCCTACTGTTGCAGTGTTGTCACCTTCGATCAACAATACCAACTAGATGTCGGGTCGGCGCAAGAAATACGAGTACATCTCAGTAAATAAGAGGGCACATGAGACGTGAGCTCTTGCACGTGAGAGTGTAGATCGCAAGGCAATAACGGGAAAAAGAACTTTATTTGTAACTTAAGGTTGATTTCACACTAAATGCTATTTAATTTATGTCTTTTCATAGTTTATATTCATGCGGACAGTATTTAGCTATGATTTTGTACGTGACCCGTTATTTAGTTGGTATTGTTGATCGAAGGTTGTCACTGTCTTTTTGTTTAACAGCTAAGTCTCATTTTGTTTTTTAAGTAGTTATAATATCTACAAACATAATACATACGGATACGTAACTATGCATCATATTTGTTAATTATTCCTTTAGTTTCCTCTTAATTAATCAATGATGATCAAAAAAAATCCAGGTTTACAATACAATAAATGCCAAATAACCAAAATAAGAGTAAATTAACACTGAGCATATGGTGTCAGCTCAGATTTAATGTTTAAAATTATATTTTATTACTTTGGGCTTAAACAAAGTTAACATTTTAAAAATTATAAGGAGTAATAAATTTGTCACAACATCCAACAAGTGCATGAATGTTATATTTAAACTAAAAGTAAGTAACATATCTATGCACTACGAAAAAAGAACCTAAGAGATAAACAATTACTCTAATTTATGAAAACATACGATTTCTTTCATTCCAAACATCAATTATAAGTAGAGAACGATAATTCGTTTGCCGTGTAGTGACGGCGTAAAAGAATTCATCACCGTGTGACGTCCCGGGGGTGTAGGAAGAGGCGACTACGAGGACGCAAAAAAATCTGATAGCTTTCGTTATATGACGTTATAACTAAATAAATACCCAGATCGGCTACGGGTCAGCAACGTTAAAGGTGCAAGACGTCGTGAATTGCGATCGTCAATCTATCTGCCAACTGTAACAATTATGGGAACCTACTTCTACAGTGATTTTCCATAATTATTCTTAACTCCGAAGAGTATGTTGCGTATTTGGACCATGAGAAAGCCTTTGATTTCGTCGATTTTTGAGCGGTGCTACAGTCCCTTTAGCGGCGTTAAATTGACTTTCGCTATATCGAAGTGCTGAAGTGTTTATTTAGTAGGCTACGATAGCTGTCCATATTTAATGTTTTAAACTTAATTTTATCTGATGTGATATGATAATTAATGTACTCATGAGATATGTATCTATGTAGTATAGTAATGTAACCTATTAATAAAAATAATTTACTTAAACAAACTCATATATTAATTTATTTTACAAAAAGTGGAAATAAAACGAAAAAAGACTGCTAGCAAAATTTTATTAAAATTAACAAAGTCTCTCAAACAAAGGTGATTGAGGAGCGCGGCGGTGGGACAAAGTCTCTCAAGCAAAGGTGATTGAGGAGCGCGGCGGTGGGCCTGCTCGACTCGGTCCTTTTCTTTTTTCCCAACTTAGCAAATGTCGTAGTGTGCGTGCTTTGGCTCGTGCCTACGAGTCCGCGGCGCTCGGTACATTTCTTAGAAGATAGCCTACTAATCTGTTTTTACTATGCACAAGGTCATGCTTCACCGCCGGGCGCCGGCAAGTATTATAATATAAAGTAACTATAGAGGGTGCACGGGAGCGGTGCACGGGAGCTGAACAGTGTTAAGTACTTACTAGGTGATGGGAGTCCTTTTCTGCCTAAGTGTACGTGTACACCAAAACCGATTTTGTCGGCCGTCGGCAGACAGAACTACGCGGGCGAGTAACTCAGACGTGTATGTGCTTACACTGCAATAGTGCACCACTTGTGCCGACATTGAATGTTGCCGGTATTCTGAAGCTGACTGCAGAGTGAACACGAGTTTTTAAAGTGGAGGGATTCGAAGAAATGTAACTCAGAAAATTCATACCGCAATTTAATTCGTTAATGAAATACCATCACCTTTTTGAAGAATTAAAATTACAACCGTTATACTTATCCGTCGGTCCGTCATTATACTTTTGTACTTTTGTACATGATGATATGACATATGAGAATATGTCATATCATCATATATATATATATATATATATATATATATATATATATATATATATATATATATATATATATAGATGATATGACATGAGAATATAGACTTATATATATATATATATATATATATATATATATATATATATATATATATATAAGTCTATATTCTCATGATAATCATACATATTGAGGAAGATTAGGCCAATAAAGTTATGCAAGGGTATTCGACTTTGCAGTGAAATGTAATAGAAGCTGAGCTTCAAACGAGTACGGAACAAAGGTGCTATAAAACAAGTTTAAACAACGCTTTCAAAAATTAATAATGTTGTATTTTGGACACTAAAATCTTTATAATTACTATTATGAGTTTTTTGATTGATCAATGCATCGCCTGATGATAAGCGACCAATATAGTCCATGTACACCTGTAGCCAGTGCAAAAAAATTTGTTGTCAGTTGTCACCCACTCTAACTACTAATGTCTTGATTTTCAAACCGGCTCACGAAATTACGTGTACTGCCGCTTAGCGTCAGAATTTCTATGCCTATGTACTGCAAAAACGCCCAAATTGTAGAATAAAAAAAAATAAGCAAATTAAATGGAACGCTTACTAATCCGTTGCGCTATGTCGGTCACTCTGGTTTTACTGCGGATATCCTCATTTCTGAGTCTATCACGCAGAGAAACTCCAAGTATAAAGAAAGTAAAAAAAATTAGTAAGCTGAAGTGGCAATGGGCCGGCCATATAGCTCGAAGAACCGATAACCGATGGGGAAAATAGGTTCTCGAGATGGAGTGACGACCTGGTAAGACATGCAGGAAGTCGATGGATGCAGGTGGCTCAAGACCGTGCTTTGTGGCATTACTTGGGGGAGGCCTATGTTCAGCAGTGGACTTATGAATGGCTGTAATGATGATGATGATGAAATGGAACGCGAACCTTATAACGTTGTTGAAACTATAACAAACCCGCTATTTTCTGTAAAAATATAACTTGAATCTGAATTGCTTTTTAACTTATACTCATTCATATAATATGCGAAATGCCACTGACTGACTGACTTATCACGATATCTCTAAAACTGTATACACCCGATTGACTTGAAATTTAGCTCTGTTACTCATTTTGCAATGTAGACGCTTACTAAGAACAGCTTCTACGATAGTCTCATCAAAAAAAATTTTCTTGATATTTTACATCTAGGTTCCGTAATTAAATATTATCCTGCGCCCAGCGAAGCGAACAGGTATCAGCTAATTGACATATATTTTTGAGTGTGTTTGTTTTATCACATTTGAATTACTGAGGTACTTATTTGCATTACGATAAAACTGACAGAACGGGTATTTATACAAATAAAGGTACCTAACAAACATTTTAATAAAAAATATCAAATTAAAAATAGCATATTTATATTAATGTAATAACAAAAATAACGTACATACATTTAAACAGCATGGGCTTTGTAACGTAAATTTGAAACAAAAGGTTTTCCACTAAACATTTGAAAATTTTAGAGGAATATTTTAAAGTTATAACGAAACTGCATTTTGTGATCATAAATATTTTAATTGGAAAGCGGACTTTACTAATCAATTTGCTAGCTCGACAAAAATGATGTCCTTAGTTTAACTTCTAAAAACAACTAAAAACAAATTTAGTAACGACAAAAAATTGCTGATTAGCAACACTCGGTCTGAAAATTGTGGTTTCGAGCGTAATGCTCGCAAGGAGTACTGACATAGGTGTGTCATGGACAATACACGTAACCTTTGTTTTTGTCCATTTTCATTTTAAGACCTATCCGCTGGGACTATTGAGGTCAGTGAGCATAGTGCTTAAATCCTCCAGCGATTCTACCATAAGGACTTCATCGTCGGCAATTCGAAGATGAGTGATCTATTCGCCCTTGATATTACGCACTACACTCGAAGTTGTTGACGAGTATGTTTACGACAACCGATGGGAGGGAGAAAAGTTCTCGAGTGGCAGCCTCTTATCGGTAGGCGAAGTGTAAGGCGGCCGCCCACTATATGGAGTGATCTAGACGACAAGTAAGACATGCAGGAAGTCGATGGATGCATGTGACTCAGGACGGTGATTTGTGGCGTTCCTTGGGGAAATCTTATGTTCAGCGATGGATTTGTGAAGGGCTGTTATGATGATTTTTTATAGAATAGAGTGACAAACGAGCACACAGTCCACCTGATGGTAAGTGGATTCTGTGGCTTACAGACATCACATTTACCCTCGATTAAGAATCAAAATGCAAATGCGTTGTCATGTCATGTAAGGACTAAGATGAAATGCCTCGTATATTAGTATACATTACTTATATATATATATATATATATATATATATATATATATATATACGTATATATATATATATATATAATATATATATATATATATAT